CTGACCAGCTTGGACTAGCTATGGCAAGCTAAGACCAGCGGCTCCAGTGAAGACTCTTTGGTCCCCACGTTAAAAACTGACCTTGTGTTACAACCTAACTCAGTCGAGAGAGGGGAGTCAAGTAAATCTCCGCTATATTATATCGTCTCTTACTATACGGACCACTATTCTTTATACTATTTCTCTATTCGGATCACTGTACTGTGGTTACTCGGAAGTATTATCGAGCAAGTATTATTAGAGCGAGTGATATTCGAAGGCGTCTGACACTAGTATTGTTCAAAGGCGTTACTATAGTTGTATCTATGATTACAAAGTCTCTACTAAAAAGAGCATTAAGAAAGTGTCAAAGAGTATTCGTTGACAATACAAAAGTGTCAACGAGTGTTCGTTGAGTTACAAAACAGGTAATAGAGAAAAGGAATCTATGAAGAGTTGTATTCTGAGTGGACATGTCATTTAAAAATCGATGACATAGTTAGATTGACCTGGTTCGTTCGTCTTGAATGTTAGACAGTATCGGGGAAGAAAATGGATGCATATGTTCACTTCGCCCTCAGCTATGGGTTAAATAGCAGTTTATATAATATATCATCCACTCTAAGACAATGAGTAGTCTAAAATCTCTAGAGAAGGAAACGGGAAACCACTCTGCTATATTTTCCAAGAAGCAACAGTAACTTACATATAATAAAAAAGGAACCTGTGGAGCGACATGACCACCTACATCTTGAACTGATATTGTATTGAAAATAACTTATTTACTAAAAAAATAATTTAGTCTGGTAAAAGGATAGAGAAAAAGAGTCCAGGGAGTGAACTAACTACACTGGAAATTAGTTTGCGCATTGGACTTTTTGATCACCATTCCAATAAAGGAATGCACATCTTTATATGGCATAGTTTAGACTAATGCCCGGGCAAATTAGAAAAGTACCCGTCAAAATCGATTTGTCAACAAAGTAAACAGATCTCTGACACGAACTGTTTAATCTTCGCTGTTAGTTTGGCATCGACATTGTTATTTACAAAGATAAAGATAATATGGCATGAGACCAACATTTTCTCACAACAATTGGCAATGTAGTTCATATTAGACAATCGGCACCTCCTAAATCAAGCTTTACAAGAAAATCCTTTTTGTATTTTTCGATTTCACATCCAGAGTATTCGTGCTCTTGACTTTACTATGGAAGTTGAAGAGAAAAATTTGAGAAAATGATTTCCAGAAGGTCCTCGTATTACGTCGGGCCCAATGTACGGCGTTTCGTGGTTACGGCCCCATCTCCCATAATATAATACGTCGTCAAACGGTGCCTTATGTGGAAGACGGCATTTTTTGGATTGTGCTACATTCGTTATCTTTCGTTTGTGTTGTTTTGGGTTTGTCGGGGGAATATATTGCCCTTGATTATGGCTCCCAAACGAAAAACAGACTCATGGGGGCTTATGTAGGTGTGTTCCGACATATATCGAAAATAAGCTTACGTTAGGCGATTGGAATGGATGTCCGACGAAAATCGAGGCCCCGCGGTGTATGTGTATGTATCTATATGTAAAGTTAGATTATGGAGGTGTGGATTATTCCTGGAAGAAAAGTTACGCGTTTTAGAATCGGCCCAACGAGAGAAACTAAATAAATAAAAAGTCAGAATTATTTTCAAAATATAGAGACGATATCAAGTACATGTTATTCTATCTATCTACTGAATAAATGTTCATGGATATATTTTTCCATCTTAAAATTCAAAGTAAGGTTTGAATATAAATTGTGCTAAAGTTTCGCTTCATTTCGTTTTCGCTATTACAGTGATACTGAGCAGTATTTTTTTTTAAATTGACGAAACGTGAAACCAAATTTATGGTTATCATAAATGACACGCTGGGATATCCGCCAGTTTCCTCTTATATATATATATATATATATATATATATATATATATATATATATAGTTTATGAAAAACTAGGTAATCCGTATAGGTAAACCTAAGGAGGATAAAATCCAGAGAGTTCAATGTAATCCAGAGCAAATAATTTAAATAAAAACAGACTACTTTAAGGTTCCATGTAATAAATTATTTCACCACAGCCCTTTTAAAAAGGACTGCGTATCATCAGACTTTACTTCAAACAATATATATATATATATATATATATATATATATATATATATATATATTATGGTCTGATAGTATGACGATTGCGTTTAAGCATGAAACAGACTGTGCCTGGGGTTGGCATTCAATCCCTACTATATATATATATATATATATATATATATATATATATATATATATATATATATATATATATATATATATGAGTCTGTATATATATATATATATATATATAATAATAATAATAATAATAATAAATCCTAATGGGCAGATACTACCTACCTAAGTTTCCCCATATGGGATGATCAGTTCACCCTGATGATCCCATGTCGTGAAACCTAAGTAGGTAGTACCCGGTTCATTAGGATTTATTTTACTCTTGCTCAACTTGAGCACTCTTCGTTTTAATATATTTCTTGCTGTTTTTTTTTTTTTTTTTTAAATTTTTAAATTTAAGGTACTAGACGATTTCTTTTGCCCTGTTCAGAGGTTTCTGGTGCTCTCTTTTTTCCATTTTTCCTCGGATGCCAATTTATTTGAAAATTGTGCTATATATATATATATATATATATATATATATATATATATATATATATATATATATATATCTGTTTAAGGTCGGTGGGTGAAAAAACCTGGATAGCACAATTTTCAAATAAATCGGCATCCGAGGAAAAATGGAAAATTGAACAAATAGCTTTAATTAAACTCTCAAACCAAAACAAAACTGTTAAATAAGTGATATAAACAATTTTTTTACTACGTTAATAAATAAATAAAATAAGAAACAAAAAAAATAAATCAAGTAATATAATTTGACCCAAATAAATAAACAAAAGACTTCCGGTAAAATAACCGCCATAATAGAATACCCACAATGCACCACTAACCTGTATATATATAAATAGCCGAGAAAAATAACAGCATATGTGGCCTGACAATTGCATATAGCATGAAACAGACTGTCGCTTCTAAGTGTTGACGTCTATGTTCACTTTTATATATTTACACGCTCTATCTCTGATATTGAGCACTTTATTCCATAAATATAGCATACCTTAAGACTATATTTCTTTATATATATATATATATATATATATATATATATATATATATATATATATATATATATATTTGTCAAACTGTCCAAATGATTCTTGTATCCGGCTACTTTCTGTAAATATTTTTACCATTTCTAAGGATTTGACTTTAGTTAGAATATTTCATCAGGGGCTGGACATTTAATAGCAAAGTAATTCAAAATATTTTTATATATATATTTTTTAGGAAAAAAAAAACAGATATCTTTAAATGTAGAATCGAAAATTGCACTTCCTCTTGCACCAAAATGGCTGTAAGTGAAAATGGTTATATTTTTAGAAATAATATTAAAATAAACATCTATCATTTTGGTAACAGGGTAATATTTTTTCAAATATGGTATTAGTTACACACGCGCATAAGCATTCCATACCACACCCCAAACGAATATATTAATGGAAGACAACGGTCCTGCTTTCCCTCCCGACCCCACATAATGAAGATAGATATACTTATACCGGCATAGGTATTCAACGTTGGAATAAGAATTGTGTTGAACAGAAAAACAACACTGTCTACCAAATGTTTCAAGAAGTAGGTTTCAAGATAATTATATTCAAAACAGAAACTGTTATCCGAAATTTGAATGAAAGCAGTGATGGTACCGACCCGGAACCGTGGAGTTACTGAATACCAAACACTTCAAATACGTCGGTGTATGGCTCAGTTATAAAAAAACAATCATATACGTGATAAGGACATTGGACTTAGAATAGGCCGCGCTAGAAGTAGTTTCGCTCAACACCGCCAATTTCCACAAAACGAAAACTTTACGTGAAAACTCGTGTCAGCTATTTAAATCGACTCGTCAGCTCGAGAATTTCCTATGGATATCAGACATAGCTCGAAACCAATTCAGAAAAACTACCCTGACAGCTGAATACCATCACTGGCGCTACAGAATCACAATCAAATAACAGAAAAGATATTACTTGAGGACTTTCAAAAGCAGCAACAACTAAAAAGGATATCACTCGAATAGAAAATAATGACATAATCAAGATGTTGACATTGAACACTACTGAAGACAAAAAGTTAGGAAGGAAACCCCAATCAATACTGGAAAGAGTGATAACAGCTACTGGGATTGAGAAGAGAAAATAATGACATAATCATGATGTTGACATTCCACACTACTTCAAATAAAAGGCTAGGAAGGAAACCTCCATCAATACTAGAAAGAGCGATAACAGTTACTGGACTTGAAAAAACATATTTTTTCTGAAAAATTGATTGATTGCTTGTTTCATTTTCTACAGTTTATCAACCATTTTGAAGGTTATTTAAAGCCAGAGAATGTTTATTGGATTGTTTGAATTTATTTTTTTTTAAGTTAATAATGATTTAATGATACACGTCTTATTAATTAACCTGGGCGAGATGAGGTGGATTTATAGCTTTGAAAAGGTTATTTGTGTGAATATAAAGAATCCAACGAGAATTGGAACTCGGATCTCCGATTAACAATTCCGTACCATTATCCATTGCACCGCCCGCACATCCAAACTGCACCTGGTATTTCTAAGCGGTCACCTATCGAGGTACTGACCATGACCTACGTCGCTCAACTACGATGTTTCAACGAGATATGGCTGTAATCCTCCTGAAAAATTATTTTGAATTATTTTTATAAATTTCAACTCGGTCAATATATGTCGAATGCTTCCTTATAAGGAAACAAGCAATATTATGATTAACATACAGAGAGGGTGGAGAGTGAGACAGTGCGAGAGTGTGAAAGAGAGAGAGAGAGTGACAGAGAGCAATAGAGAGAGAGGGCATCAGAGTGAGTGCGAGTGAGAGAGAGAGAGAGTGAGTGATACAGAGAGCAAGAGAAAGCAGAGTGAGAGAGAGTGTGAAATAGAGTGAGCGATAGATATAAAGAGAGTAAGAGCGAGAGCGATTGAGAGAGAGACAGTGAAAGAGAGCGAGAGAGACCAAGAGAGAGCGAGTGAAAGAGAGTGAATGAGAATGAGTGGGGGAGAGAATGAAAGAGAGAGAAAGAGAAATAGAGAGAGAAAGCAACAGCGATAGTGCGAGTGAAAGAGAAAGTGAGTAATAGAGAGAGAGAGCAAGAGCGAGAGCGAGTATAAGAGAGAGAGAGAGAGAGTGAGAGACAGAGAGTAAGAGAGAATGAAAGATAGAGAGCGTGAGTGATAGAGAGAGAGAAATAAGTGTGAGAGCGAGTAAGAGAGAGAGAGAATGAAAGAGATTGAGAGAGACCTGGGGAGAGAGAAAGAGAGACTGAGAAAGTGAGAGAGAGCAAAAGAGAGAGTGACCAAGTGAGAGAGAGAGAGAGAGAAAGAAAGAAAGAAAGAAAGAAAGAAAGAAAGCGAGGGAAAGTACCCGAGAGAAGTAAAAATAGTGATAATACTGATGTTTGACCCTGAAGTAAGTGCAGACGCGGAAGGAATCGCGTTTATCAGTTTCCGATTCATAGACACGTGGTTGAAAACAGGATTTTTTTAATGGTGAAAAGAACATTCTCATTCTACCCGTCTTCAGGACGCTGGTGATCATGGCCCTCCACAATTTCCATTCCTTTGTAACTATAAAAAAATGTCTTTTTGTTATCTCTCCTAAACCCTGTTCTTCCATCATCCATTTCCGCAAGCACTTTAGGTAGGTTTTTTTCCCACTGTCTCTTTTTCTTTCCATCTGTCCTTTGAGTATTGAATTTTCCAAGCCCCTCTTCCTCATTAAGTTACATAGAAATGTCAAATGATTTTTCCTGATATTAATTATAAGTACATATTTTGTTTTAATAAAAATGGGAAAAAGGAAAATCATGAATGCATCAGTAAGATTTATATTATAATTACATTCAATGACATTCATCAGATTCACAAAACTCAACTATCTATCTATCTATCTATCTATCTATCTATCTATCTATCTATCTATCTATCTATCTATCTATCTCGATCTGTTCATTATCTATCTATCTATCTTTATGTATCAGGTTGTTCATATCTATCTATCTATCTATCTATCTATCTATCTATCTATCTATCTTTATGTATCAGGTTGTCCATATCTATCTATCGATCTATCTATCTATCTATCTATCTATCTATCTATCTATCTGAGCTTGTTCATATATATCTATCTATCTCGGTCTTTTCTCATATCACTTATATTTGTATGTAAGTATATATATGTGTGTGTCTGTGTGTATTATATACACACATACGCATAAAATCATGTTTACATATATATATATATATATATATATATATATATATATATATATATATATATATATATATATATACTACTGACTACTGTACTGATGCGGCATTCACCTTGGGCGGATTGAGCCGGCTTCTTCCTGTTATGAGAAGAAGATTCTTGGGATAAATTACAGAAGTAGGGTACCCAGGCCTACTCGAATAACGTTCTTGCTTGCCGCGGGGTTCCCACAGACGCAGAGACAGGAACGACCAGAAGCCGCCGGTTACCGATGCAGACGCTCCTTGGATTTTCACCAGAGCCCTTGTTAGCCGGCGTGTGTGTCAGACCTGTCTGCCTTGGGTGGCCCTACCGGAGAAAGAGAGAGTGATTAATTAACACAAACTAATAATAACACTACAAAATGTCCTTAGCAAACGGAAGAATTTAGAAAACACTATTATATTCATATTGTCAATTGAAAATTACGTCAAGTCCTGTCACGTGTGGAAATATTGTTTTTATTGCTGTGTTGACGGATTCAACAATTTTCATTTGATTTCTTGGTACAGTTGTGTACGTTTGCTTGACGTAATTTTTAGTTAACAATATGAATATAATAGCATTTTCTAAATTCTTCCAGTTCCTAAGGACATTTTGTTTGTTATTATTAGTTACTTTGTTTTAATAAACTCATTTCGTTTTTGACTTGAAAAAGTCCACATTGGACGAAACGCGTTGGCTAATATTACAGTTTTCCTATTGTCTTTTACATTTATATATATTGTCTTTTTCTACAGGTTAACTGTGAGAAATTTTTCATATATATATATATATATTTGTATATATGAAAAATTTCCCCTGTCTAAATGATTCGATTCCCCTGTATCCTTGGAAATAAAAAAATATGAATTGTATGTGCGTTTAAAACTCAGTTAATTTAAAAATAACTTATTCCAAAATTTACTTGACGATGAAACAGAACTAATGCTTTAAATTTAATTATATAATTAAATTTGAAGTTTTTAGCTTCGGTTTTTGTCACATGGTAATTCCTTTGTAGCGAAGAAACTATATTTTAAATCAGTTAATTTATAATATATATGCTCTGTTTTTGTAAAAGAATATGTTATATACATTTCTGTATATCAGAACACTGTTAGACAATTGAATGACAGAGCTTCACCACTTTGCCTAATTATGGCGATCGTTTCGATTTATATATTACATCCCCTTAAATATATATCATCGCATCAATAAGAACATTTAGTCGAATGAAGTCCTTTTAGCCTTACACAGAATGTTTCCACTTTATTATTCAATTGCATAAAATAACTATCTAGAAAAAAATCTTAAAACGTTTTGGTTTTGATGCTGAAACTCGGAAAATATTTTCAGAATATCGATCTGTGTAGCTGGGCGTAAGAAGCGACGGTTTTAAGTCGTTGCAGGAAAAGAGAGCTGATCCTATATTCGTGGAACGGGGTCTTAGAAATCAGGACATGACCTAAATCACGGTTAATCTTCAGCCTTTGCTTAAATGTAAAGTCTTCTTAGCAAGACTTGTAAAAGATCTCATGGCGGTAAACAATCGCAAGCAGACAGAGTTGACAGACATCTGCAACAACATGCAGGAACTTTATGCCAGTGTGTGCCAAATTATATGGATCAGAATCCGGTTGGTAAAATCATATGAGAGAATCTAAAGACGCGTTAAACTCCAAACTACACGAGTTCTGAGTCGGTCAAATATGTCGGAAAGCCTGCTTTTTGAATCAATCTTTACGGTAGATTTTGTGCGGTACTTCAACTGATGGGCGGCTGATGAGCAGCTGAACAGAAAATGGTGGTTGATTGGGATTTGGCTGAATGATACCAAGGGGATTTTGAGTATTAAAAAGTTATTTCAAAATAGGTTACTCATAAGCAAGTATTCAAGATATTAAAGAATCTGTCTAAATAAATAGGACGTTTAATAGGAATAACTGGGCCACATTCCTAGGATAATAGGAATAACTGGGCCACATTCATAGGATAATAGGAATAACTGGTTCACATTCTTAGGATAATAGGAATAACTGGGCCACATTCCTATAGAAAGGAGGAATAACAGGACCACATTCCTAGGATAATAGGAATAACTGGGCCACATTCCTAGGATAATAGGAATAACTGGGCCACATTTCTATGAAAATAGGAAAAACTGGGCAACATTCCTAGGATAATAAGAATAACTGGGCCACATACTTAGGATAATAGGAATAACTGGGCCACATACTTAGGATAATAGGAATAACTGGGCCACGTACCTAGGATAATAGGAACAACTGGGTCACATTCCTAGGATAATAGGAATAACTGGGCTACATTTATACATATGGTGTTAATATATCTTTAATAAGTATCCTTAACATTCACATAGTTCTTGAGATGAAATAACATTTCTTTTAGATATAAATTAAATAAAGAAGGACCAAGAAAAATCAAAAACTCTTCGCTGAATTTTTATTATTTGTTTGTAGTTTATACATTGTTTAATTTTCTAATTGTTAAGAAAATCTTTTCATTTTTGTCAAACCCTAATCATAAATGCCTAATCATAAATGCCTAATCATAAAACTAAACTTAAGCATGAAACTCAATTACTGTCATTCCTCACGCATTTTTTTTCTAAAAAAAAAAGAAAAGAAAAAGAAGCAAAATCAGGAATAGGCCTCTTCGGCCCAGAATTCCATTGGATATCGCGGTTGAAGAGACAGACGACTACAGATATCGTCTGCTGAAATAGCCTATTCCCAACATGAGATAATTTTTTTTATTATTATTATTCATCACAGCCACACGTGTATACACACACACACACACACACACACATATATATATATATATATATATATATATATATATATATATTTAAGTTATGAAGAACTTGGTAATCCGTATATTAAATCATTAAACTATTTGTTTAAAAAATTAAATATTTAAATTGATAGCAAACATCATATAATTTTTTTTAGACATCTAAATTTCTATCCAGCATTAAAATCTATTCTTTACATAAATTGCTAAAACCCAATTACAGCCTCTTTCTCTTTACTTCCCTCTTCCTCTTCTTTCTTTTTCCTTTTTCCTTTTCCTTTTCTCCCTACTCCCCTCCCATTCTATATATCATTTCCGTTAAGTTAACCGTCTAAATAGCTCAAGATCTAGTCACTCCTCCTCCCCCAATACAAAGTATACTTGAGAGAGATATGAAATTAATCCCTCCCTATACTCTACCATGTCTCTTTAACTATCCCTCTATTACCCTCTGTTAAATTACAAAAACTTACACTACCCATCAATTTTAATTTCATTTTTCGTTTCATTTCATTTTTGGAAGTGGTATCTGATGATCCAGCATCCTTTAAAAGGGCTCTGGTGAAATAAATTATTATAATGGTACCTTAAAGTGGTCTGTTTTTCTTTTATATATATATATATATATGTGTGTGTGTGTGTGTGTGTGTGTGTGTGTGTATGTGTGTGAGTGTGTATGTGTGTGAGTGTGTGTGTGTGCATAAGTAATTAATATATTTTTACTGATATTATTTTCAAAACGTTTTATTTA